GACGAGAGGCAATGTTGCTATTGGCGACGCTCATGAGGGCTCAGACCTGTATTTTTCAGTAAAGCTGCTTTGTGTAAAAAGCACTATATAAACAAACCTTGACCTGACTTGACTTGACGTGAATGAGACTGTGGTCAGAATGACCTCGTGACGGTGTGATAGGCATTTTTAACAGTGATGCAGCAAAGAGCCAAAATATTCTCTTCTACTGCAACACGCCTGACGCTGTCTGTACCTGGACTTTCTTCTTATATTATGTTGTTAAAGGCATGATATGTAAAACGTGTAAATGCACAGTCGCTGCTCCTTCTTCACTCAGCAGCTTTAACATACAGTGACAGTTCGAAGTGCTTTACACAAACAGAAAAATAAAGCATTAATAAAATCAAACGTCACCCCGTTACTCGCCGAGAGCCCCAGTCTCCAGCGGTGGACAGCAGCGCTAACTCTTGTTTTGCTTCTATTTACATCACTTATTTCCTTTGCTGCTGAACGTGGTTCTTTGCCAGGAGCTGGAGGCGGTGATGATGGTCGCTGCCAAGAGCTTCAGCCATTTACAAACTGGTATTACGAGACAGAAAGGGCCCAGAAAGGGTTCAGCTGATTGGCATGCTAACTTCAGTAGATATATCTGCACCGTGATGCACAGACGTCTTCAACAAAACACCAAAACTCTTATTTCTTCACATTCTCTTGATCATTTTTGTTAATTCTGGAATGTTTTAAGCTAAAAATCGAACAAATTCCACCTTTAAAGTGTCCCAGAATGTTGAGCTGTGATTCCCGATTCGCTCTTTCTGCTCTCGTTATCTGGTCGATCAGCTGTTTCTGCATGTCACTCAGGCGCGGAATGTAAACAGTGACCAGAATGAAGAATAAAGCTCTTGTACAGAGATGAACGGTGGGTTTGAGAAGTGCATGATTAGTAGTCCTGTGACATGCACACCTGCATTCCTTTACCCAGAAGCAGATTCTTCCTCTCGGTTTAACCGGTTTGCTCTGAGCTGGACGCTGCGGAGGTGCAGTGTGCTGTCCAGGGTCATCTTAGAAAACCAGGTCTCTGTGAAAAAAAGGGCAGGAGAGGTCAGGAAGTTTTGTGGATTGGAGAGGAATAAAGACGGTAAAGGTGTTTGAAACCCACACCGTCTCAGCTTTACGAGCGCGCCCACACATCTGCCTCTCCGCCACCTCCTCGCCAGGTTGGGCAGAGCCAGCGCCCCCCACTGTGAGGATTTAAAAACTCTGATGGTTTTAGAACAAACTCTGGACTGATATCAGGAGAAATGCTGTCCATGAAGGTCAGTAACCGCTCCTGCTCCAACCGTCTGAGTTCGACATACAGTTGACGACATTAACAAACAACAACAAATGCGAAACGTACAAGCAGACGACTGTGGCACCATCTTGGATACCATAACATTATAACATTATATTATTTAATGTTATATTTCACATAATACAATATAAATTATAATACATAATGTAATATGATATCAATTATTATATATATGTCTTAATATAATGATATGTATGATTAATGATAATGTATGTACAATTAACTATAAGCACATTTCAGGATGTATATAAATATATCCAATATTCGTGATTACATTAGTCTCTACTCTCTAATCTCATTACTCAGTACTGCTACCGTACTGTGTACCAGATTATCTCACTAGATCTTTTTGCTTGATCCAAATACTTTTTCTTAAAGCCAGCAAATAGCATCTGCTGATGTTGTGAGAGTTTCACCTGATACAATTACTTTAGTAAGGAATGTTGTGAAATAAGTTTACAGTATTCATAAAACAGTCGCAATAAATCAACTATATCAATTAGATTTAAGATTTCACTCACCTACACATTTAAAACAGTGGTTCTTTGAGACTTCTTTAGCACAGAGAATGGTTCTGTTTAGAACCATGAGCTCTATATGGAACCATTCCATACTTATTGCACCAAAAAGCGTTCTTCTGTTGTTACAAGCTTGACAACACATTCTCCATCAATCTGAAGAACTGTTTCACCATGAAAACAACCATATAAGCATGCAAATGGTTCTTTGTGTTTATGGTTCTATATAGAACCTTTTTCTTTACCAAAGAACTCTTGAAGAACCATGTTTTTAATGATTGTATACAGAACCATTTGTATGGTGAAACGGTTCTCCAGATTGATCCTGTTTGCTGAATAGTGCTACTCCTCACGCTCACTATTGTAGGTCAGAGATGCACGTTTTGTCACAGTTATGAGGTCCATTATATAGAAATATTAAACACATTTTAATTCACTTTCTGAATCATTTCATAAGAGCTGTTTGGGTGCACAACATTTGAATTTTTGGCAATGTAGACATTTTTAATCTTCCAGCCACTGAAACTCCATCTACTCCATCTCCATTACTAAAACGTTATCTAGCGTTGCACCGATACTGATACCATATCACTATGGTGTATGCTGTTCAGCTCTGTTTTTAACTGTTCTGCACAATAAAGATATTTTACACTGACTTAAGTTGTTAAACATGGTTCTCATTACTAATTATATAATAGTAAATACTGAATATATACAGTAAATAAACAAAAACAGTTTTTCTTAAGCATCTAATAAATATAATCCAACAAGTAAATGCCATCTAGCCAAACTGAGTGTATTTTACATTTACATTTACAGCATTAAGCAGACGCTCTTATCCAGAGTGACTTACTTTTGTTGTCTACTCAGAGAAAATATCTAAGCTAGTTAAAATAGGTGAGAGAGAAAGCCAGTCCTGAGCTCAGACACTGCTAGAAACAAAAGTCCAAGTTGATACAGAGAGAAAAAGAACAGAGTTAAACACAGAGCAGTGCAGTACATTTCAATAAGTACTTAACTCAGAGCTCACTTAAGTGCGGTATAAAGAGACGGTCTTCAGTCTGTGTTTGAAGACGCGCCTTGAAGGATGGCAGGTCGAGCTGAGCTGTACTCGAAGCTCAAAAGGCTCGAGGGACAGTTGGAGTTTTGACCATTGCCATCAGGTAGGGAGGGGCTGGTCCGTTTTTGGCATTGTAGGCATCAGCGTTTTAAATCTGGTGCAGCTGCAGGAAGCAGTGAAGGGAGCGCAGCAGTGGAGTGACACATAGGAAGACCAGCCAAGAGCGAGTTGCAGTAGTCAAGTCTTGAGATGACAAGAGACTGAATGAGCACCTGGGTGGCCTCTCGAGTGAGGAAGGGTCAGATCCTCCGGATGTTGTACAGGAGAAACCTGCATGACCGAGTTAGGTTCGCGATATGAGCCGAGAATGATAACTGGCCATCCAGAACCACACCAAGACTTTTTGTCTCTACAGACAGAACAATCAGAGAGTTTGAGGATCTGAAGTTACTGGGATGAATAGCAGCTCAGTCTTGCTAGGGTTGAGCTTCAGGTGTTGAGCTGCCGTCCATGTAGAGATGTCAGTTTGTCAGTGTTTCAGAAGGTGGGAAGGAGCATTAGTTGAGTGTCGTCAGCATAGCAGTGATAGAATAAGCCATAAGAGGAAGTTACATCACCAAGAGAACAAGTGTGGCATGAAAGAGAAGATGAGGTTCATGAGAGGCATGTTCCCCCTTTAGTGACAGTTATTGTCGTTTATGTTGTTGTTCCAGAGTTGAGATTCTGTGTTTTTATGTTGGGGGTTCAGTTAAACCGGGTTGGGAGTCACCGCTGAGACAAACTGTAAGGCCAGGAGTGACGTGATCTCATTTCAGTTAATTCTCATTTTCTGCTCGTCCTAATAAAAGATCCCTTTCCTAAGCAGATCATGGCGTCTCCTGATTCTTCCTCACAACTCATAAAGAAGAGTGACAGCGGGCCTTAAGAGGAGCACAGACTGAAAGCTGGTAAGTTCTTTGTTTGCTCAGAGTTGATTTGTTGTGATCTCTCCTGGTCAGCCTGCTGTAATGAGGGCACAGAATATAGAACAGAGAACATATATAAAGCTTCTGTTACCAGTAACCAGTGGTCTGATTCCTCAACTGGTGGCACCTGATAGGCACTTGAGTGAACTGTAGGCTGTGAAACTGAAGGCAGCTGCCTCGACGCCTCGCTCCCTGTGCTGTCTCCGAAATCAGTGCCTTAGAAGGTGGTGTTGTCCACTGTTTTAGTGCTGATGTTGCAATTGTCTGCCAATATAGTGAAAGAATTTTACAATATCCTTACACCAATCTCAAAAGGAGAAATATATATATATATATAGACCAAACTTAAGGTGATTCACATCAAGATATCAGTGTAGTGTAGACAGTTGCACCGCTTGGGTAGGGTGCTCACTAGTGTGTATGTGGTGTTTCACTGCACGGATGGGTTACAATGCGGAGGTGAAATGTCCCCGTAATGGGACTAATAAGGGTCACTTAACAAATCTTGTGAAGCAAGAAATAACATTTTTTTACAGGAATATTGTAATTTATTCCCATTCATGATGACTATTGTCTTTATTGAGTGTTCCACAGTTGAACAGCTTCACTCTCCACCATAGTTACTGTATGATTTTCTGAAACGGTCAAGTTACTTAGTTAGTACCCAGTTTTATCAATCAGCCTTCAGCATAGTTTATTACGATACAACAGTTACCGTGGCCAAAATACATGAAACTGGAAGCGACCCCCTTTTTCATTACATAGATAAAAACATAGGATATTGTAATGATATAATGACCGCTGAACTGTAAATGTCCCCGGTTTTCACTTCAGAATCGGCTCACTTCACACCTGTGAGCCCAGAGACTCAACTGATTTAAAAATGTGCATCTATGAGGCCTGACTGCTATTTTTTCACAGAGGCCCAGAATCACTATATCACTAATTTAATGGGAACAGAAAAATCACATTTGACCAGAACCTGTAAACCACCAACCTCACTGAGCCGCTAATCAGGAAGCACGTCCAAAAAACTGCTTAGAGTCTTTATCAATTCTATGAAATCATATTAATAAACATTTGTATGCGTTGTCGAGGGTTTTGCCTCTTGAACTCACCTCAGCCCTGCGTGTGACGTCACGAGCCAACGAGCCCAGTAAGCGGTTTTCAGGCAGCTCCGCGGTGAGTACGTTAGCGCAGTCAGACAGACTGAATGTAACTTTAAGAGCCTCTAACTGGTCTGTGCGCTCTGTGCCCGCGGCGCTGAGGCGCTGAGGCGCTGTGTGTGATGTGTGCGAGTCTGTGTGGCGTTTTGATAATTAAATTAATTAAATAATTAAGTCACAGAGTCCTGTATCGGTATTTACTCTCCTGTGGAGCGCAGACAGGTGTGAAAGTGAACGTTAACGCGTTTTATCGTCGGTAAAGTCATTTTACGTTGTTTTTAAACGTTCATCGTGTTGCAGTCGTGCACAGGACGCACAGCCAAGTTCTTGTTCACGCCTGTAGCGGTTTGCTATTTCCCACCTGTATTGCGGCAAGCCACGCCCCCTGTGCTATTTGATCACAAGCCTCGCGCCCTCGCTAGGATCGGCGAGCGGGTAATACTCACAAGCAGTCCGCCAATAGCGAAGGCCCATCCTAACGCAGGCGGGGCATGCCGGAAAGTGGGAAACAAAACAACGCCCACAGGCTAGTGATGGGAATTCCGGTTCTTTTGGCTCGGCTCACTAAAAAGAGCCGGTTCTTTCGGCTCCCAAGTGGCTCCTCAGATTTTTTGTCGCCTAAATTAATGTATTACCAAATTATGTGTAAAATGAATTACTAATGTAAAAACATACATTATATCAAATGTTTTTTATATGGCTTTATTTATATACTCAACATGGAACAGAGTGCTACAGAAATAAATTATAAAATACAAAAATCAAAGACCCACCTAAATTAGACAAAAAGGTCTAATCTCTGATTGTGTATATTATTTGTAAATTTGTACAGTGAAACAACACATCAACAAAACATCACTCAACAAAATATGAATTAAAATGTGCAACAAAAAAAAAGAAAAAGCAGCATCCTTTAGCGAAGTGGTGGTGTACTGGATGATGCTGCAGACGTTGTAAGAGCAGCAACAGTTGCAGTAAACACACTGGCACCTTTATTAATAGCAGGTTCCCTTGCCTGTCTTTTCTCTTCTAATTGCCTCGATGGATGAACAGTTCGCATATGCCTGTGCAGGCTGTTTGTGGAACCTGCTCGATATGAAATTTTAACTTTGCACAATCTACACTCTGCCTTTGAACTGTCTATCACATTAAAATGTGTCCAAACTTGACTACGTTTCCTGTCACTCATGTGTAGTCTGTCTGACTATGTAAAGCGCGAAGCTCTCTCGCTCTCTCTTGTCTTCCGAGAGCACTTTGTGGGAGACTTTCCCTCCTGTTCGTGTGCTCTGCTGTGTGTGTTTGTAACCCTTCCCCTACCGCCTCCCGCTCAGTGAAGACTCACAGACGTCACCACACATCTTGACCAATCACGCTTTAAAACAGATCGGCTCACAATCAGGAGCCGGCTCCAGTCGTTCACTTCAAAGAGCCGGTTCTTAGCCGGTTCTTAGCCGGCTCCAGTCGTTCACTTCAAAGAGCCGGTTCTTAGAGCCGGATCGTTCGCGACCGACCCATCACTACCACAGGCTGGACTTTCTGGTGGAATTTGGACTTTGAGCTTGTAGGACAGCGATGATTATCAGCTCAGGGTTTGTCCCTCCTGCAGACACACACCCAGAGCTCTGAGCTTCTACCAGCTCTACCACCCAGAGTCCACCTGCTTTCTGTTTTAAAGCAATGTTGAATTAAATCAGTTAAATCCATCTTCATCTTCTTCATCATCATCTTCATCATCATCTTCTTCTTCTACAGCCATGTCGGTGAAAGAGTCCAAGCCAAATCTCACCGTTTCCCAAGCTACCGACATCACGGGACGACTTTTTGGCCTGACTGCGTCCAGCGTCCGTCCACTGCCCAGTTACGATGACCAGAACTTCCATGTGGTCTCTTCAGAAGGTGGACAGTATGTGCTGAAGGTCATGAACTCTGCAGACAGCCAGAATCCCACTCTGCTGGAGGTCCAAACCCACACCATGAACTTCTTATGGCAGAAAGGACTTCCTGCCCAGACTGCTGTCCCCACGGTAACCGGTCAGCTGATGAGTTTGGAGGAAATCGGTAGGACAGAACTTTAATTTGCTTAATCCATGTAGAAAATAGTAAATAGTTAAAGGGGAATTTCACTGATTTTTCTAATTTCCTGCATAATTAACTGGTTGAGATGTAATTAGAGTCATTCAGAGTGGTTCAGAGTGGTTTGGTGTGAAACACTCCGTTCTAGAGAAACTTAGAGTCAGAACTGTTCACAGTGGTGGTGATAGGAACCAGACGTCCACCTCTAAAAGCTCCCTCACAGAAAGTTCCTACAGTAAATGGTTATGAATTCACTGCCTGATGACTGAGACACTGTTTTATGATAGTTTTGAGAACTTAAACTCCATTCATGGTGGAGGGATACATGCAGGGCACTGTGAGGCAAAATAGTCCCCAAAGAAAACTTATTATTTCAGATTTTCCACTATTTTCCATCATCAACATTCCATATAAACTCAGAAGACTCGTGTAGGTTCACTGGTGGTTCTGGATAGTAAATAAAATGTCTATATCTGTGTTGTAGTCATGGCGACCCCTGGTTCCTATCACCGTTTCACACCAAACCACTCTGAATCATTTGGTTTACATCGCACACACTGAATTATGGGGAATTTTGAAATACAGTCAGAAAAGCTTTAATAACAAGCACAAATATTGTATAAATCATTGGTAATTAACTTGAAATCTATAATATCTGCTGAGACTGTAAAATCTTCTGTAGATCATTCTGAGATGATGAGGTTCTGTAACTGAAAGCTGCTTCATTAAATTCAGATCTGCCCCTTCTGACTGATTATTATCAATCAATTAAAATAATTAATTGTTATTAGTCTCATAATTCTGTCCAGTTAATCATGAATGAATCACATTTGTCCTATTTCCTCAAGTTTGACCTTAAAGTAAGATTAGTTTGTGTTTATAAAGCAGTGCAGTGTGTTTAAGCTGTGTGACAAAATCAGCTTCATTAGTGTCTATTTAATACTTTCAGTTAGAGCTGCGTGATACAGCAAAATGTAATATTATGATACTTTGGAGGTTTTTACGATACACAATGTGTCACTATGAGTTCAATAACTTCAACATTTCACACACTGCACTGCACGAAATCTGATTAAACAGGACTAATCCAGCTCTCTTCATAATCAAACATGCAGTTAGGAAGTGTTTTTAAGTACTGATGATATCTCAACATGCTCAGAAAAACGTGTTGTGACATTTTATGATGTAATTTTTCACAATAATGATCAATTTTGTCATATTGACCAGCTCTACTTTCAGTAAATTCAGTAACATTATTGTGTGAACCCAGACCTTGAACATGAAAATCAACTATTACCAACATAAAAAAGGCTTTAATCATTAATCCTGTTAAACTTTATTCATGCATTAACTTTCACAGCATTATTATCATCACTGATTAATAACAGAGTCTGAGAGTTTACAGGCTCTGTCAGGTCACAGAGCACAAAGAAGGTAAATAAGTGAAGACTCGCCACAAACCAGGGAGCCGTTCGTCTGGAGAATTGAAGCTTTATTTCTTGTGTGTAGGTACCAGAAACACTTAGGCTGGACCGATGCCAAGATTAGGCCCAGCCTATACAAGACAAGCGACAGGTGTGACAGACATGACCATGTAGGGTTTAGACACAATCACAGCACGCACCATGACCTAATGACTGATAACACTGCACTGAAGACATTACCCTGCAGTACCGTCCTTCATTGGTGTGATTTTATGCGCTGAAGTTGACTGTTTGTTGTGAACTCAGGCTAATGGAGATGCTCATGATGCACAGCATTCACTTAAGACAGACAGGTAAATGGTTTGAGTGAAAGAAATAATGGCTAATTAAATGTTTCAACAGCTTTTCTACTATTTCCTGGATTAAAGGTGGCGCGTGCATGAAGGAGCCGCTTTATCTCTGTCATTTAGACTGAGATTTCTTATCCAGTTTGAATCGCTCATAAACGTTGCAGATGTCCTGAGGTAAACTGCCGCTGCCCTCCTTCCCCTGGAGGAGTAACCCCGTCCAAATAGGGCTTACGTCCTTCACCTCTGCTTCCACTCAAGGGGTTCCACAAGATTCAATCCTTGGACCTCTCTTGTTTATTATTTATAGTGACGCATCGATACCATCTTTTTCAGACCAAGAACAAGTACATATGTTTTAGTACTCACTGATACTGAGTCTGATACCACACTGAGTACCTATTTAGAATGAAGTATCTGTCAGTGTAAATGAGTGTAATGAATCCTAACAGTTAAATCATTAAATCCATCTGATTGTTAATGAAGTGCGTTCGCTCGCTCTGCTACATCAGTGATCTCTGATCGAGCAGCGCTGCAGTGGAGAACAGGTTTAGTTCCCCATCAGAAAAGCTCTTCTGTACAGCTGTAAGTAAAGTGGGCTCCTCACTGCTCCTCCATCAGACCTCCACAGCTTTGGTGATCGAGCTTTCTCTAGATCTGCTCCTCGTCTCTGAGACTCTCTCCCTGTGCAGGTCCGACAGTCTGATTCTCTCCTCATATTCAGATCTAACTGGCGCTGAATGATTTTAAAAGAAAATCTAATCACAATTTTTCTGCCGATATTGTGATTTTGATTTAATTGCGTTTACTTTCTTTATATTGAGATATGGGCTTTTTTGGCTAAAGGAATCAGTAAAGGAATCTAATTTTACTTTTTTTGCCATTTATTCTGTGCGGAACAAAATTATAGAAACCATTAAAAGTGTCTGCTGGTTCCTGCTGGTGTCCAGTAGACTCTAATGGTGTTTTCTGTTTTCCTGATGGGTTGATATCACAGTGTTAAAGTTTCTAATGGTTTAACAGCTGTTCTAATGGGATCCAAAGATGTCCTAAAGGAAACTAGTGGTCTCTAATGGAAACCATTAAGCCAATCCCCATTAGAAAGCAAAATCATCAGGTTTTAATCCTAATGGTTCTAACAGTCATTTTTTGCAGGTGTTTAGTTAATGATTCCTTTTTTGTGTTTAAATTAATTTTGTTATGATGGTGGCGACGTCTGTGCTGCATCGTGATTGGTCACAGCTCTGACTTTGGAGCTTTAGCATTTTATTTTAGACCAAAATAATCCAAAAAAGAGAAAAACAGAGCCGCAGTCTTCAGATCCTGTGCTGAGAGATGCTGGTTTTAGTAAGAAGCTCCACTGCAGTTCTGTATGTTACTCAGTAATTAAGTTTCTGACCTGAAACTTTTATGCTTTTACTTGTGTTATTATTTTACCCAAGTATCAATAATTTTACTGGAGTATGGATTTAGGCTCCTCTACCTCCTCCGACTGTGAAAGACTGAGGGGTGAACAGTCACAGTCACTAAAAAAGTCTGATGAATCAATATAAACACAATTCAATATAGTGTGATATTTGACCCTAATTACATAAAATATTTGCATAAAAATAAATATCATTAGCGAAAAATTTTATTTTAGTGTAGTAGCAGAGAATAACAGAAATAAATTGTATTTATATGGTAATCTGTAGCTCATTTCTGATGAATCTGTGAATGTTCAGTAAAGTGTCCTGTAGTGGGTGTATATGGGTTGATATTATATGTAGTTCTGATTGTTTACTTTGGGGGTCTTAGTTTGTTGGGTCAATGTGTTAAACTAACCCCCCACCTCCTGGTGTTGAGGCACGTTACATTTTATTTTAGTTTGTGCCGCCGGTAATCTGTAATCTCTCTACTGTAATTCACATTTTTGTATTGTCTTTAATCTGAAAATATTCCTGTTGGCTGTATTTTAGTAAATAACGTACAAACAAAACTAATAAACGTAATATTATGACTTAGATGAGGAAAGATTAAGAACTGAGATTAATTATATTCACTACATTAATCTCACAGTAATCTCCCTGGATTCAGTTTAGCCTGTTAGCTTACCTTTAGCTAACATTAGCTTTGCTTGTACTAGTCAAATGATGAAATTAGCTAACAGGCTTTCACAACAGAACATAAAAGCAGCATAGTTTAATAAAATAAAACGTTTTTATTCTAGAACTATAATTTAAACAGAACAGTAAAAGGACACAGCACTTCCTTAGCTAAGCTTAGTTAGCCCCGAGCTAACTGCTGCTCTGCTCGCTTCTGAGGCTGGACGCTGTGAAAACAGGAGACGTGTACAGATTTAAGGAGACATAAAGCAGCTCATATTAAAGCTGCTGTGTTTGGTGTTGATCAGAGGAGACGGACGCAGACTGTGCTCTTCATCTGCTGATCTTTGAGCTCATGACTTTAGCGTTTAGCATCGCGCTCCACCAGCTGAGCTGCAGAAACGCTGTACTTTGAGATGAAAGGTGAACAAAGCTGTAGAACGAACGATGTTCAGTGTTTTGTCTGTGTTTTGTGCAGATTGTGGTTTCGGGGTGCAGAAATATCTGGTGCGTTTGCTGACCTTCATGCCCGGCACCACGATAGCAAAGGTGACCTGCACTCTGCAGCTTTTATACGAAGCTGGAAGAACGGCCGCCACCATGGACACCGCTCTGCTGCAGGTAGAAACCACAGATTAAAGCGATAGTTCAGCCAAAAACTAAATCAGCCGAGACACAGTGTGCTTCTTTACCCAGCTGGCACATGACCGACCTTCAACGTTGAAATGTGGTTGAAATAATGTCGGTTGTTGTTTCAACGTTGAAAAAACGTTGAAACAACCGTTAATGTTAAATAGTTGTGAAATGGTTAACAAAATACTCATAAATCAACGTTGAAATTTCAACTTTAAATCAACATAATGTCTTAATCATCTTGCTTTACAAATATGATCATTATTATTGTTAATTTATTGCCATTTTTTATATTTTGATCATAAGAGCACTTAAAAAATCTAAATGTATATGTTAAAAATAGCAAACAACAGAAACAATAATAGTAACAGGCAAATTAAGTTTGCGGAGAAAAGCTTGTTTGCCGCCCATTGAAACAGCATGAAGAGCTATGTAAACTGACAATCAGCGCCCGTACTGAGGCGGGCTGACTACACCCGTTTCGAGGCTGCCCGAGTGCGCCTGCGCTGCAGCGACGCGCGCGATTCACCAACGTTCAGCTGAGCGGGAAAAGCGTTCAGAGCGGCTTCTGGAAACTTCGGAGGCTTCAAAGCGCGTTTGGTGAGTAATACTTGGTTTATTTGACGTACCAGCAGTTTTAATCGAACATTTACTTAGATTTAATCCTAAAATCTGATAATGTTCAACTCTTTATACAGTAAATCAAACATTAGCGTCACTGGCTAAGTTAGCTAGTTAGCCGGTGGTCTGCTATGGTGGGATAGCTAGGCTAGTCACCTTTGACTGTTTCTCTCGTTTATGAAGGCAGTTAAAAGGTAATTGTTCTAATTATTATTTTAAATTTGGAGCGACGTTGTCGAATTCATGCTCTAAGTATAGCTAATAAACTGAGTTGCTGTCTAAGTTAGCTCAAGGTTAGCTAACGTTAGCAGGCTGTCTAACAGCTCTGCTGGAAGTCCGGTTCGGTTCCGGCTAACTTGTGCTAAACTCCGACGAATTTCAAGGAAAATGACTCAGATTTGAGCGAGTGAAGTCGAGTGGACGGTGCTGGAGTGTCCGATAAGCAGAAACTAATCAGGGTTTGTGGTGTGTGGGGCTGTTAGTTTGCTAGTTAGCAGGTAAAGGCTTCACAGCCCGGACCAGGTCTGATTCTTCACTCAGACGAGACGAAGCAGAAATCTTTAGAGGGAGAGTCGCCGAGTGACGGGAGCCGGAGTTAAAACTTAAAGGAGAACCCCACTGATTTTCAAAAATTCTGCACAATTAAATGGTTGCGGTGTTTACAGTCATTCACAGTGGTTTGGCGTGAAATGCCCTGCTGTAGTGAAACCTACGATTGAGGAAATGTTCAAAGTGGAACCAGATGTCCGAAGAATTCAGTGCCTCTGAAAACTCTCTCTTAGAAAGTTACTATATGAAATGGTTAGATATATACTGTGTGATGCCTGAACCTTTGTTTTATGGTAGTTTTGTGATTAAAAATTTAACTTGCTGTTTTTTTTCTTTTAATTCATTAATGCCGGAGGGGTGCATGCAGGGCAATATAGTCTCCAAAGAAAGCTCTTTTTTTTTTTCCCAGACTATTTTTCCCACCATTACACAAAAACACATGTAGGTTCACTGGTGGTTTCAGATAGTAAATAATGTGTCTATATTTGTGTTGTTGTCATGGTGACCCCTGGTTCCTATCACCACTGTAAAGAAACAGTACACTTATTTACAATTAACCATTTTATATCAAACCACTCTGAATGACTCTGCAGCCACATGTTTACATCATTTACATGTTTACATTGGACTGAATTATTCAGGAATTTTGAATTGGTAGAAATTTATTATCCTAACTGGATAAGTTATCCTCACTGAGCTGAGCTATAAATTGGGTACTTTCTGTCCGATAGTTTTACTTGCTTGAATTCGAGTATCTAAAGTGATGAACGTTAGTCGGTGTTCACCTTTTGGAAATTCAGTATCTGTTGTATAAACTGAAGTTTGAGCGTCCACTTTATGAGAATATTAATTTGTGTATGGTAAGTGAAATAAAACCATTTAATGCTTGTACAAGAAATCACTGCGTCACTGACCGGAGGTTATTCAGAGTGCTATCTGGTGAGGGTTTTACTGATCTTGCTGACTTTTTTTCTTTATTTTAGATGCAGCTATGAAGAATCCACAGTAACAGTCACGCAGCAGGTGACAAAGAAATCGACCAGAGACATCCACGTCTGCTAAGAGCTGAGTACATTTAACATTATTGGGTAGGGGCCAGATGTTCATATTCTGTCTGCCTCTCTCTTCCACACATGCTCTATATATACATTCACTGACCGCTTTATGTACACCTTACTTAAGCTTGTTTGCAAATTACATTACATCACTGCGTTGCTGTGGCACATACTGGAGGGCAGGAAGTGATTTTCATAGAAGGCCCTGTCACAGGTTCTCGAAATGCCTATGGTTTACGTTGTTTATGGTTGCTAAATTAGTTCTAACTGAGAAACTACAAGGTTCTTTTATCAGGTCCCAAAGCTTGTTCATTGGGGGAAAATGCAAGAAAAACACCAGCAAAAAATATGTTTTGCACAGTTCATCTGTGCACAGGTGATATATTTAAAAGGTACAAGCAACACCACTTACACTTAAATTAGGATTAACAGTTAAACACAAGATGGGTGAACAAACAAGTTGCCTATATCTGCTGCCTCAATAGCAGGGAAGTCTTTCAGTTCAGTTGGGGGAAAAAAAACACTCCTTTTGAAAACATAAGGAACCTCTGTCCAACATTTCTCTCGTAACATAGTCTAAATTAGCATAGTATGGGCTTGCCTCCATGTTGTTTTCCGCTTTACACTTCCTGCCCTCCATCTGGAATTTGTTCCCTGTTCTTCAATGGTCAAGACCCCATAGGACCCCCCAGGACATTTATTTTTTGGGTGGTGGGTCATTCTCAGCACTGCAGTAACACTGACATGATGGTGGTGTGTTAGTGTGTGGTGTTCTGGTGTGAGTAAATCAGACACAGCAGTGCTGCTGGAGTTAAACACTGTCCACTCACTGTCCACTCTATTAGACACTTCTGCTAGTCCTTGTAGATGTAAAGTCAGAGACGATAGCTCATCTGCTGCTGCACAGTTTGTGTTGGTCATCCTCTAGTCCTTCATCAGTGGTCGCTGGACGCTGTTGGCTCGACATTTTTGGTTAGTGGACTATTCTCTGTCTAGCGGAGACACTTAGGTTTTTAAAAACTCCAGCAGCACTGCTGTGTCTGATCCACTCAGACCAGCGCAACACACACTAACATCAGTGTTACTTCAGTGCTGAGAATGATCCACCACCCAAATAGTATCTGCTCTGTGAGGGTCCATGGGGGTCCTAACCACTGAAGAACAGGGTAAAAGGGGGCTAGCGAAGTGTGCAGAGAAACAGATGGACTACAGTCTGTAACTGTAGAACTACAAAGTACTCACCTATTGGTGAACCTGATTAAATGGAAAATGAGTGAATAGGTAGCTGTAAATGATAGTGTGTGTGTGTGTGTGTGTGTATAAAATAAAGCACAGTGGTGTGCTGCACATTTCAGTTTCGTGTGTATTTTTCTTTAACACATGTTTATTGGTATATGTTAACTGTTTATGTACTGACTTCCATTTTGTTAGTGTTGTAGGCATGTACTGTATATTTATGTAAGACAATTAAAGCAGTTGTTTCCAAATCATTTCTAGTGTTGTCATTGAAATTCATGCATGCTTACAGGTGAAAACAGGTGAGCTTTAAGGATGTGTTACTTTACAAGTCATGATACAGTGTGTACTAACTTCATAGATGATGATGCATATTAAAACTGTGACAAACTATTGATTGTTCAGCTGTGTTCGCCTGTGCTTCACTGTGTTCATTGGCTATTGGGTCAGATGGTTTTCTTTTTATTGTTGTCTGGATTCTGTTATGCTATGGTACATGTAGTTATAGAGATTTAGGTTTGTGCAGAAACTGTATGGAAGTAAATTGAGTATATTTTGCTAGCTGGGAGTGTTAATAGCACAACGTATCCGGATGTGAGCCGAGCATTTAGGCCAGAATTGGGCGGAGATACAAACCAAAGTCTCGGCAAACGAGGTATAAGATCGGTGTGGCATGCGCCCGCCCCCCCGGCGACGAACCTCGGCCAGGGCGGCAGGAAGAGAGCCGCGAGTGTGGAGGGGGCGGAGCGAAAAGCCCGAGCTCGTCAGAGGGGCGCGAGTGACGGCGGGAGGAGGAAGACGACGACGGTGCCAGTAACGAGAGGCACCAGGGGAAGGAGCGAGTCCCGAGCTCCGCCGCCTGAGCTCCGCCGCCTGGGCCCCGCCCCCTGTTACGCAGCGAGGCCGCGCCACTACACCTCACCTTCGACCCGGGCGGCTGAGCCGCCAGCTGGGGGCGGTGACGCGGAGGCCCCGCCTGCCGCCGGAGAAGTCGCGGAGGCCCCGGGTTCTCCCACCCTCCCGCCCTGTGCTGGGTCTTCCCCCGGGGGGGTGCGATGGCTCAGTCCGGTTCCCGGCCTGAGTTGGGTGGTGGGGGTATGTGGCATGCGCCCGCCCCCCGGGCCCCGACGATGACGGCCGCGAGAGTCGGCAGGAAGGCGGGGCCCGAACACCCAGCGGCGACGAACCTCGGCCAGGGCGGCAGGAAGAGAGCCGCAAATGTGTGGAGGGGGCGGAGCGAAAAGCCCGAGCTCTGCGGAGTGGCGCGAGTGACGGCGGCAGGAGGAAGACGACGACGGTGCCGGTAACGAGAGGCACCAGGGGAAGGAGCGAGTCCCGACTCTCGCGGCCGTCATCGTCGGGGCCCGGGGGGCGGGCGCATGCCACAATCGGTATGCAGTATTCAGCCGGGATGTGGGCCCACTGATTTTTGCTATCTGGGAGCCTCAACGTTGAAAGGTAAGACGTTGAAACAACGTCGCGATATCAACGTTGATTCATCTTTCAAAATCGAAACATAATACAACGTTGTTTCAACCATGATCTGTGACGTTGATTCAACCGTGAATAAACGTTGAAATGCCAGCTGGGTAGCTAAGGCTAGCTAAGACACACTCAGCTAGAGGCGACTCTGGTGATAATGTAGCTCCAATATGATTTATATATTTAATTTAGTGTATGCAGACTGCTGTTTTATATAAATGCTACTGTGCAGTTGCTAACTGTTGGGGTATGAGTTTCCTTTATTTGGTAGCTACATTAGCCTCGTAGCTCCAGTGCTAAAACTAAAGAAGCAAACTTCAGATACTTAGTGTGTCTCGGCTGATTGACCACATTTGAGATAAGGGGGAATTTTAAAGGGGAATTCCACCAATTGTACAAAATTCCCCCATAACTCAGTGTGTGAGGTATAATCAGAGTGGTTCAGAGTGGTTTGGTGTGAAATGGTTCAGATGTCTTTACAGTGGTGGTGATAGGAACCAGGGGTCGCCATGACTACAACACAGATATAGACATTTTATTTACTATCCAGAACCACCAGTGAACCTACACGAGTCTTCTGAGTTTATATGGAATGTTGATGATGGAAAATAGTGGAAAATCTGAAATAATAAGTTTTCTTTGGGGACTATTTTGCCTCACAGCGCCCTGCATGTATCCCTCCACCATGAATGGAGTTTAAGTTCTCTAAACTATCATAAAACAGTGTCTCAGTCATCAGGCAGTGAATTCATAACCATTTCATGTAGGAACTTTCTGTGAGGGAGCTTTTAGAGGTGGACGTCTGGTTCCTATCACCACCACTGTGAACAGTTCTGACTCAGTAAGTTTCTCTAGAACAGAGCGTTTCACACCAAACCACTCTGAACCACTCTAATTACATATTAACCATTTAATCATGCAGATTTTAAAATAAGTTTGTGGATTTTTTTGCATCTTTTTAGTCTTTCTTGATTTGTTGTTCGTTGCGTGACCTTTATGCAGATGGAGCATCCACACCTGAGTGTTCTTCAGAGGGAGAACTTCATCTGGAGTTTAGCGAGTGTTCCTCTGTTGGAGCAGTTCCTGCCTGTGCTGGATGGAGATCCGATGCAGGAGGTGGTGAAGAAGGTTATTGAACAGTTCAAAAACCATGTAGTGCCAAAGCTCAACTCCTTCCGCAAATGTAAGAATGGTATAATATTGTTAATTGTTAATATATATATTAACTGCCTGAACAAGTGATTTGTTACAGAAAAAATTTGGAGAAAGATCTGATTAATACACTCACTGCAAATGTAGTCGGTCGTTATGGATGAAATTCAGGTTTGAAGATTTTTGCTACAGTGATTATCTGTGCTAATGTACTTTAGTCCGTGTTTATAGAGAACAGTGAGTAATACAGTGTCAGAAACCACATAATCAACGGTATTAGAGATACTGAACGACTCCACACGCTTTGAGGATGCTTTTCTTTCTATTCATCACTTCAGGCGCCAGAATGTAACGGCTGCACCATTTAAGGCAGAAATGGAAAATTCAAATAAAAAGATTACAAAGCCAGCTTCATTAGTGTCTTTGAGGAAAGGCATGCAGTTAGCACTGCGCTAATTGGTGGGGTGTGAGCTTCTATGGTTAGCTACATTAGCCTTGTAGCTCAGATTCAGACACCAAACGCATCTTGGCTGATCGACTACATTTGCACTAATTATATTTTTCACTGAACTATCGCTTTAACGAGTCTCTCCCTCGTCCTGCAGGTATTATCCACGGAGACTTTAACGAACAAAATGTTCTGGTTGAAGCTGATGGTCCGTCCAGCTACAGGATCAGTGGCATTCTGGACTTTGGAGATATGAGCAGTGGCTATTTTGTGTTCGAGCTGGCCATCACCATCATGTACATGATGATCGAGAGGCCCAGGCCGTTAGCGGTGGGGGCAGCGGTGTTGGCGGGCTGGGAGAGCGTAATCCCCCTGAACCCGGAGGAGAGAGATGTGCTGTACCTGCTGGTTCTGAGCCGCTTCTGTCAGTCTCTGGTTCTGGCTCGCTACACTGTTCTCCAGCAGCCCGAAAACGAGGAGTACCTGATGATCACGGCGAGGCCTGGCGCCAGGCTGCTGCAGCTGCTCTGGGAGACGGGCAGAGACGAGGTGGAAAAGATCTGGTTCAACGGCGCTGCATAGTTCTTACAGAACAGCCATAGAACAAACACAGAGGGATAATAACTAAAAGAACCGGAGGAGACTTTTAATCTGAGTTCAGAATTAATGTTAACCAAGTCTTCACACTATTCAGTGTTAAAATGCCTTAAAGGGACAGTATTGTGGACCATTCTATTGTGGACAGGCTGTAGCAGTTTAGGTCCACCTATTTAGTGTAGAGCAGTTTAGCCCTGTCCATTCAGCCTACAGCACAGTTTAGCCCCACCCATTCAGCCTATAGCAGTTTAACCCAACGCATTCAGCCTGCAGCAGTTTAGCCCCGCCCATTCAGCTACAGCAGTTTAGCTCCACCATTCAGCTACAGCAGTTTAGCTCCACCGTTCAGCTACAGCAGTTTAGCTCCACCGTTCAGCTACAGCAGTTTAGCTCCACCATTCAGCTACAGCAGTTTAGCTCCACCATTCAGCTACAGCAGTTTAGCCCCACCCATTCAGCTACAGCAGTTTAGCCCCACCCATTCAGCTACAGCAGTTTAGCCCCACCCATTCAGCTACAGCAGTTTAGCCCCACCCATTCAGCTACAGCAGTTTAGCTCCACCGTTCAGCTACAGCAGTTTAGCTCCACCGTTCAGCTACAGCAGTTTACCTCCACCGTTCAGCTACAGGAGTTTACCTCCACCGTTCAGCTACAGCAGTTTAGCTCCACCGTTCAGCCACAGCAGTTTAGCTCCACCCATTCAGCCTACAGCAGTTTAGCCCCACCGTTCAGCCTACAGCAGTTTAGCCCCACCGTTCAGTCTACAGCAGTTTAGCCCCACCGTTCAGTCTACAGCAGTTTAGCCCCACCGTTCAGTCTACAGCAGTTTAGCCCCACCGTTCAGTCTACAGCAGTTTAGCCCCACCGTTCAGTCTACAGCAGTTTAGCCCCACCGTTCAGCCTACAGCAGTTTAGCTCCACCGTTCAGCCTACAGCAGTTTAGCCCCACCGTTCAGCCTACAGCAGTTTAGCCCCACCATTCAGCTACAGCAGTTTAGCTCCACCGTTCAGCCTACAGCAGTTTAGTCCCGCCCATTGGCTGCTCTGTATTATCTCTCATTCAAAAAGCAATCTGGGCTGAAACACACCTTATAAATTCAGCGTGAGTTTTGTGACATCACAAAAACAGTGAATTCCCAATGGGCTGTTTTTGCAGCCTGGTTTTCATATATAGACGTATGTCCTCAGGAGTGAACGGTATCTTTAAAAATCCTTTTTACTCCATCAGACTCTCATTAAAGTTTCCATGATAAGGGAATGATAAGGGCTTCCATGAGAAGCCATCCTCCGTCGTAAAGAAATGAATCAGTTTGTTCATTTTCTAAGTGTCTTCCGCTCCAGTCTGCACTCATCTTACGGGTTAATAAGAAAGTGACACTAATCATATCTGCAAAGGGAATAGCATTAATGTTAATCAGGATTATATGAGGTGGAGAGTTTCAGTGTTGAGTGTGATGGAGCTGTTTGAACAGACCGGTCAGTTTGATGAACGGCCGATCGAAATGACTGATCTGTGATGGTTTTTGATGCTTGAATATTTCATGCAGATGTGAAATCAGAAGGTGAGATGAGGATGACTTTTCAGTGCCAAAACTTCATAACCTTTATAAACTTTATACTAGTGAATTTACCTCCTTAATCACCAGCTTGTAACTGCTGCACCATTTAAGGTGGAATGGAAAAATAGAATAACAAGCTGGCGAGTAAAGAGCTTTGTGCCTTAAGCCATGCAGTGTTGTTCAGTAATCTGTAATAGACTGACTCCAGTGTCAAACTAAAGAGAAAAATCTTCAACCATCTCACATTAATTATTCAATATTTAATATAAGTAATATTAGTGGTTCTCAGTTCTGGTTCTACTGCTCTGCACATTTTAGGCTTCCTCCAGCTCCCAACACACCTGATCCAATTAACTAACTAATCAACTATTTAACAAGCTCTTCCTGAGTGATGGCTGTGTTATGCCGCTTTTGAGAGGTATTTACCACTTTACTATGTACCATTTTCTGACTTTTTGCACTCAAACATCCAACAAAGACATAAAAGAACATTATTCAGAGCAGCAGTACGGCAGCTCCAGGTAGAGCTGGGCAATATGATCATTATGTCACAATATGCTGTTATATCCAGCCATACAAGACCAGATTCCTCTCTCTCTGAATGGGGAGAGACCAATATACTCCAAACTGAAGGTCAGATTACCAACAGATTTGAAATCCTCTGGGATCCACAAAATCTCCCACACGTCAAATTCTCTGTTTCTGTATTTTTGAGATGATCCAGCTCAGAAATCCAGTTCAAACACTTCCTGAATCTGTAGAGTCGCCCTTTCCATTCCATCTTATCACGAGATCATACGAGACTCACATCCGGAGTTATGAGCCTATGAAGAGGGGATATGAGATACACGTCATCTGCCTCTCACCGTGTGGAGCTGGTGGATTTGTGTGTCCATCTACATTCTGTGTGAAACCGACCAATGGACTCACTAAGGACTGACCATCACACTGGAAACCCTTCATTCTTCATTCAGTCCACATCGGAGACTCATGTGAAATGGCGAGCAGAGAGTTTACAGCTGCTGAAGCGGGTTTGGAAAGTCGTGATGAAGATAACGGAGCAGATTTTAAGAGCATTTACATAGAATTTAAGAACGTGCACAAATCGAGAGAATGACCCCATGAGGGTTAATGAAGGCTGAGTGTCTCACTTTCCTTAATATGGGGTTCTTTAGTAAAGACAATAGGTTTATATAGAACCATGAACACTTAGAGAACCATCTGTATGATTAAATGGTTCTCTGCATGGTGGAAAGTGTTGAATATGGTTCTATATAAAACCTTTTTAAAAATTTCTCCATCAGTCTGAAGAACCATTTCACCATGCAGAGAACCATATAATCCTGCAGATGGTTCTCTAGGTGTTCATAGCTCTATATAGAACTGTCTTTATTAAAGAACCCCCAAAGAACCATCTTTTTTAAGAGTGTAATGGTTGTAATTATTTACTGGTTTAATGATTTGATGATTGTGTTTTTTGCAGTGATATGATACGTTTTTAATGATCTGTTATGAAGCCACCACCCCACCGCGACCCAGAGGGATGGGCGGTTTAGATGATGTGTGTGTGTGTTATGAAGCCTGTTTGTCGTAGCATTTCTGTGTGTCTGTGGCCATTACTGGATCCGGTGATGGTGTAAATATCTACAGTGGTGCTACGGACCCTGACGACCCGGTGCGCCCCCTGCTGGTGTGTGTGCATGTTTAGCTTTTTGCCAGCTAGTTTATTGTTAGCAAGCTGTTTCAACATCTTCAGCTAACGTGGCTAATCCAGCGTTCTGGTTATGGTTATTTACACCTCCACTGATGTATCGCTCTGTAGTCGTAGCTGACGTTACAGCTGAATTTTTCCACAAAGTATTTATGTCCTTTATTCAGTTTGGACTCCCGCATTGTTGCGTCTTTGGTTCTCCAACAGTTCTGGACTCATCCTCGAATTTTATTCTTGGCAACGATTTCTGTGGTGAGCTGAAATGATAGCGGAACTTGTTTAACCCAGCGTTTCCGTGCTTCTGTTTATTGTGAGGCCTGTTAACACAAAACGTGATTTCAGTAGAAGCTAAAGCTGATTTCAGTGCATGCAGAGCGTGAGTGGTTCAGTTGCAGCTCAGAGCATTTAATCCGTTTATAGTTGTGTCTTTTGGGGTAAAATATCTTATTTTAATTGAACTGTTTTTTTTCAGCAGTATATCACAAATAATGTTATTTAGCTTAGATATAAAAAATTAGGAATATGCGCACTGTGACATGCTGACAGCGTAGTGAACGGAGTAATTTTGGGAACGACTGAAAGATTTATTTTTGAGAATTTGAACATCAACACACGTCTGACACACTGCATACAGTACTGTGCAGAAGTCAGAGACCCCTGCCCCTTCATTTAGAGAAGAGGAAGTTAATGTACCAAAATATCTTCAAAACTGGAGTTCAGTTAATAGCTACAGAGAAAATGAGGCTCTTAACAACCACCTGGAAGACCTGGTCGACACCAAAACTGCCCCCATCAGATAAACAGCACTTAAAGCTTCATCAAAGCTCTGTTTACTGGAGTCACTCAACCATTTTAAACTTCTACTCTATAAGCTCCTCCACTCTTACTGATCTTAGTTCCTTCTGCTTTGTTTTATTTTATTTCACTGTTTTACTGCAGCTGTTTAATTTGATGTTAATTATTTTCCTGTTCAATTTTATTTTACTATCTTATTGAATAATTTTATTTCTAAAATCTTTTGTGTTTTTGAATTGCCTGTTATCATAGCTGGTTCTTCTACTTTTCATTTGTTTTCATTGCATATTTTATGGCTAAACTAACCCAAACTCTTATTTTAATTTCTGTATGAATCTTGTTGATTTTGATTTGTTTTTGTTGACAAATTTCATTTTAACTTTTCTTTTTCAGTCCCTGTTTAACTTGCTCGGCTACAGTGTAAATAAGGGTCACCCTCGAGTCTAAATAAAGGTTGATTGATCTTTGAGAGAGAGTAGAAAATCAAGCTGCTTCAGATCTGAAAACATCCACAGGTGTTTCTGTCCATCCTTCCACTGTGAGAAGACGACTCAGCTCTTCTGAATGGATTCAGTGAAACAGGAGAATAAAGAGGATAAACAGAGAGTGTAAGAGTCGAGGAACAGATACAGACCTGAGTCAGATCAGCAGATTGATCAGAGGAGAAAAGATAAACCTGAGAAAACCATGCAGAACACCAGCCTTCAGTGAGGAGAACATTAGAACCGTCAGCGTTCTCTCTCTCTCTGAGCTCAGTGGAGTTTATAATTCAGCAGGACGTTCACAGCCGGAGCCGCTCACCTCCTATTATTATCTTCTCGACATTATGATTAATATTTAATCTGCTACACTGTGAATGAGAATCTGCTGAGGCTGAAATAAAGTCTGAGCAGGTCACAGTTAACTAAACTCATTGAGTCATAAAATCAATTTCAATGGACAAGATACATCAGTTATCAGCTTATATGATAATAATGCATATTAATATTCATCTACACTATTAAAAAAAGATGGTTATTTAAAGGTTCTTTAGTAAAGACAGTGGTTCTCTACAAAACTATGAGTTCTAGAACTATTTGCATGATTAAGTGGTTCTCTGCATGGTGAAATGGTTCTTCAGATTGATGGAGAATGTGTTGTAAATGGTTCTATGCAGCACCAAAAAGGGTTCTTCTATTAAAAGCTTGACACTGTAACAATAGAAGAACCCTTTT